AAATAGAGCGTAAGTACTTACGTTCACTTAATCATAGACAAGAAAATAGTGCGTAAGTACTTACGTTCACTTAATCATAGACAAGAAAATAGAGCGTAAGTATACGTTCACTTAATCATAGACAAGAAAATAGAGCGTAATTACTTTTGTTCACTTGGCGAGTTTTGAAAATATGGCCCTGTCAAAAAGTCAAAAAGTTTGTGCGTGGAAAGGTTAGACCGATGCTATAGCAGAGGTCGCTATAGCTAGCTGCAGGTGGTCGATGCAGCTGCAGCTGGCTGGCGCCTGCGAGGTCAACTTTGTGACCTAACTAAAAATGTAGTCTTATAAAAAAAAGAACATTAAAAATTTGCAGTCTCTGTAGCCTAACTAAAAATTTACTGTCTTACCAAAAAGATTTTTTTACAAGAATTTACAGTCTCTGTAGCCTAACTAAAAATGTAGTCTTATCAAAAAGAATTTTTTAAAAAGAATTTACAGTCTCTGTAGCCTAACTAAGAATGTACAGTCTTGTCAGAAAAGAATTTTTTGAAACAATTTACAGTCTCTGTAGCCTAACTAAGAATGTACACTCTTATCAAAAAGAATTTTTTCTTACACATTTACAGTATCTGTAGCCTGACTAAAAATGTACAATCTTATAATTTTTTTCACAAATTTACAGTGTAGCCTAACTATAAATGTGCAGTCTTATCAGAAAGAACATTAAAAAAATTACAGTCTCTGTAGCCTAACTAAAAATGTAGTTTTACCAAAAAGATTTTTTTAAGCTTACAATCTCTGTAGCTTAACTGAAAATTTACAGTCTTAAAAAATTAAATTTATAGTCTCTGTAGCCTAACTCGAAATTTACAGGTTAACCGACTATGTTCAGTGCTCCATAAGTTTGCATGCTTGGGCCTACCGCGTGCTGTTAACGCCCGTTTATTAATTTAGTGTTATAATTTTATTGATGTTAATGTTGTCGACGTAGTTTGGTTTTTATTGGAATACTCGCTACCAACATCGTGGTAAATGACATGGACTCTACCATGGTAGAAAAGTTGCAGGTAGATAATGTGTAATTAGATACGGTACCGTATCTACCAAACCGACACCATGGTAGATCAGTGGGCGGGTTTTGATTGGAAAAAGATGATAGTTTTATTTTTTTTTTGTTCCGTCCAGAGATTATAAACATCATTTTTAACCAAATTAAGGTAGCAGGGTTAACTGCAGGTTTAATTTCAAAATGTTGAACTTGAATGTTAATTCAAGTGACACTACAAGTGTCACTTGTAGGAATTTAATTTTTCGAATATTCCTGACGTAAAATGTGGCGTCATATTAAGTTTAGACTTGTATTTTTGCCTAATTTGTCACTTGTAACAGTTCTGGTTGTCATAAAAATTTCATTTTCTGCGAATGACCCATGTAATTTCTCTGCATCTTTTATGCTATTATGTCTATAAAAAACGTGCATTTCATCTCTGAAAACAATATTTCGAGAATTTTTTTTTTAAATTTCCTAGTTTTAATTTTGTTGTCCGGTATTTAATCCGTCGGTGCATAGTATGCTCTTATTTCTTTCTATAGTCACCAAGGATGTCATATACATAGTTGATATGTCACGTATATATGTCATATACGTGATGATTTGAAAAGTGGAATAATCGCTTATGAACTATTTATTATTGCATTAATTTAATCATGTATGATGTGTACGGTATCGTGCATCATTGGAACTATGCATGATGTCATGCACATCATCAGAACTATGCATACATGATATCGTGCCTGTGCAGTGTGCACTGATTTATTTTAAATTATTAAGCAATATAAAATTAGTTAATGTTAGCGTAACGTGTCTGTAGACTTGAATCTGAACAACTCGCACGTTCGTGAATTTCTTTAATATTTAGTTTAGCCCGATTTTGTTTCCTTCTAGTTTAGCTTAAGGCCCGATTGTTTACAATTTTAAATTAATATACTTATATTCGAATTTAATATACTATAAAACATACGATCGGAATTACATATCCCGCTATATATATTCTCAATACTTCTTTTTTCGCTTCCAGTTCGTGCATTTTTCCTTAATTTTTTGTTCGTTGTTTTTAAATCGCGTGTGTTGTTGATGCATCATTCATGCATAGTTGATTCATCATTCATGCATAGTTGATTCATCATTCGTGCATCATTGATGCATCATTCGTGCATCTTTGATGCACAATTCGTGTGTCGCTGAGACATCATTCGTACGCCCTTGAAACATTCGTGTGCCGTTGAGGCATCGTTCGTGTATCTTTGATGCAAAATTACTCCATCGTTGAGTCGTAATTTCTACTTCGCAGCAACGTAATTCGTGCGTCGTCGTGCACCATTTCCACGTCGATGCTACACGATTCTTTGACGCACTATTAGTATGTAGATATGTTCGTGCGTGCGTGCGTCGTGGCAACGTATAGGATCGATGCAGCGCCCGTCTTACTGCTGCATACACGCTGCCTTCACTCTGCCAACACGCTGCGACATGCTAATCGTATGTACACTCGCATTATTCGTTAAAATATTCTAGTTTATTAACAGTTATGTAATTTTAACATTCATTTAAACTCATTTTTGGTGAAATAAACGTTCATATACGGTACTTTCACTTAATTTACCTTCACAGTCTCTACACGCTGCGACATGCTAATCATGTGTACACTCGCTTAATGTGCTCAAATATTTTAGTTTGTTCACAGTTGTGTAATATTAACCTTCATTTAATAATTACATACTCAGTCTTTGTGCAACTAAATTTCGTATACTTTCATTTAATTTATACTTTTGTCATTTACGCGTTTCATAAATGCCATAGTTTTCGTGAATTCTGTACTTTCACTTGTTGTTTTCACTGACTTAATGTATTTCAATTACGGTATCATAAATTGCAGCTCTAGGGGTTAGACAAAATAAGGGAAACATGAGAAATCAACAAAATATATTTTAGTATGGTGTAGGTCCACCTTTTTTGGCAATTACAGCCTCAATTCTACGAGGTATTGATTCACACAACTTATTTATTGTTTCTAAAAGAACTTTAACCCATTCTTCAGATTGGGTAAAATATTCAGATAAAATTTTCTTGTAGAGACGATGGTGGCGGGAATTGACTTCTGACTTAAAAATCGACCATAAATGCTCGATAATATTTCGGTTTGGTGAATGTGGTGGCAAAATGAGATGCTGAACTTCAATAGAATGTTACTCGTGCCATTTTTCAACAATTCCAACTGTATATGGATCGGGGCATTATCATCTTGATAGATGCGTTCCCCTCCGGAAACAGTGTTTGAACAATTGTATAAACTTGGTCCTCCAAAATTCCTAAATAGTCACGGCTGTTGATTCTTCCACGAAGAAAAATCAATGGTTCACCAGACTTCCAATAAATAAGAGCCCAGGTCACAGATCCACCGCCATGGTTCACGATTGGGAGGAGGCAATCTGGATTAAATGAGCCTTTTTGGCTGTCTCTAAACGTAATCTCGGCCAGAGTTTGGAAATAAGGTAAACGATGATTCGTCAGAGAAAATCGCATTTTTCCACTGCCCGTGGTACCAATTTTTGAGGTTTTTACACCATTCTGAACGCTTTAAAGCATTTGTATTTAAAACTAGAGGTGATCTAATTGCAGCTCCTCTATAGAATCCAGATCTGTGAAGCTCTCGGCGGGCAGTCTTTATGGAAACTGGGTTCTGTATGTGTCCACTGTGGTCTGTTGGTGTCTATTGAGGTCTGTTGGTGTCTATTGAGGTCTGTTGGTGTCTATTGAGGTCTGTTGGTATCTATTGAGGTCTGTTGGTGTCTATTGAGGTCTGCAGTAATTTTAACAACCGTGGTCTTTCGATTCACACGGTCGTTATTATTATTATAATAATATTATAATCACAGTTCGATTTAGGTACCGACGGTCTCTCTCAGACAACTTCGACTTTCGGCCTGACCTTTGCTTTGCTGAGGACGTTTTTCCATCTCTTTCAAAAGCAGTCATTACTTTTGAGTCAGTAACTCTAGAAACGTCAAACATTCGGGAAATTTATGCTGAAAATCGGGCACCAACAATTTGGCACCTTTGAAGTCAGAGAGGTTTGCCATTGATAGGTTATAGGTTACGTTATAGACACAAAAATTAACTCAAAATATCTGTGTAAGGATAAAATATATCAATTAGCAGCAACAATAAACAATATAACATAAAAATATAGCACCTTTTCATTGTTTAAGACATGTTCAGAAATTACGTTATCAAAATGTCATGTGTTTCCGTTATTTTATCCAACCCTTGTAAATTCTGTGATGGCAAACATTTTTAATGTACAGAAAGGCAAGTATTTCATTAACACGTTGACTACGATTGCTTCATCTTGTACTATTATTTCATTTTTTGTACTGTTTTTAAACAGGGTTGCCAGACGATTATTTTTTCCGGACAAATTCCGTGATTTAGTTTTTCTCAATTGCGTTGGCCGGCTAAAATTTATGATAGGGGTACTTCCTAATTAAATTTTAAGTACTGGAAAAAGAAAATAAATGGAATTTTTATGGCGGAACCTACAAATAAACTAGTATATATTGAGTTATCGGCCATTTTTGGCCTTTTTTGTTCTCGGATTTGGCCGATTTTGGGCAACCTGAATTATGCACCACTTCGTCCTGGAGAAATACATTTCGTGGTACGCATATGTACCAATACGTAGTCAACGTGTTAAGAAGGAAACATAGCTTGAGAACATGCACTGTATAACTAACGCTTTATCTACTTGTATTATTTGAATTATATTAATTTACACGAGTTTAATTAATGGTATTTATTTCTATTTTTATTACTTGAATTATACTAATTTACACGATTTTAATTAATGGTATTTTTAGTTATTTTTTAAGTTATTAACGCTGTACATACTTCATTATTATTATATGAATTATACTAGTTAACAGGAATTTAATTAATGGTATTTTTTATTATTTTTCAGAGCGATACAAGCGCCAGCTTCTTGCGAGCGGCAAGAGCAGGCAACCTCGAGAAGGTTTTGGAGTTTCTCAAAAGCAACACCGACATCAACACGTGCAACCCGGTGAGTAACACGTGCAACCCGGTGAGTAACACGTGCAACCCGGTGAGTAACACATGCAACCCGGTGAGTAACACGTGCAACCCGGTGAGTAACACGTGCAACCCGGTGAGTAACACGTGCAACCCGGTGAGTAACACATGCAACCCGGTAAGTGTTACCCTGTTAATTTTTTTCTCTCAACATGTTACGATAAAATTTAATATATATGCAGCTTAGATATATAAACAATTTCAGTTTTTTCGCTAAATTTTTTAAGTAAGTGAGTTTAATTAGATAATCATCACATACTTTGATACAATTTCAATTGATAACTTTTTAGTGTATCTTTTAGCACCGGGATTAAAAAGGTTTTCTCTTTTAGTTTTATAATTGTATATAGTAGTATAAATGCTCTATGGTTATAGAATTTCCCTCAAGTAATATTTGCCCATAGTATTTTAATTCACATATGATAATTCCATATAATAGTGTAACTTATCTACAGTAATACAATTTATCACAAGTAATATTTCCTATAGTAATATAACTTGTCTATAGTAATACAATTTAACGTCAGTAATATTTTCCTATTGTAACAGAACTTATCTACTTTAATACTATTTATCACAAGTAATATTGCCCAATAAGAGAATAATTTCTCTATAGTTATGTACAATATCGCATAAGTAATAATTCCCTACAGTAATATAACGTATCTACAGTAATATACAATTTAATACATGTAATATTTCCCTATAAGAGAATAATTTCTCTATATTTATATGTATGGTTATTATTCGAATTCGAATACGGTATTAAATTTAAATTCGAATAATGAATTCAAATTCGAATATTGAATTCGAATTCGAATATGAAATTCAAATTCGAATATTAAATTCAAATTCGAATATGAAATTCAAATTCGAATATGAAATTCAAATTGGAATATTAAATTCAAATTCGAATATGAAATTCAAATTGGAATATCTAACACTCCTGTGGTTGCCCAGAACGGCCTGAACGCGCTGCACCTCGCCAGCAAGTAATAATTCCCTATAGTAATATAACTTATCTTCATTATATAATATAGATACAATTATCACAAGTAATATTCCCCTATAAGAGACTAATTTAACTATATTTACTTATAATTATCACCCCTGTTGTTGTCCAGAACGGCCTGAACGCGCTGCACCTGGCCAGCAAAGAAGGGAGGATACGACGTCCTATAAGAGAATAATTATATTTACTTATATAAATAAGTTAAAATAACCATATTTACTTATATATAAATAACTATAAAATATAATTATCACCCCTGATATTAACCAGAACGGTCTGAACGCGCTGCACCTGGCCAGCAAGGAGGGGGACACGACGTCCTATAAGAGAATAATTATATTTACTTATATAAATAAGGTAAAATAACTATATTTACTTATATATAAATAACTATATTCATATGTTTATCACCCCGCATGTTGCCCAGAACGGCCTGAACGCGCTGCACCTGGCCAGCAAGGAGGGCCAGCAAGTAATAATTCCCTATAGTAATATAACTTATCTACAGTAGTACGATTTATCACAAGTAATATTGCCCTATAAAAGACTAATTTAACAATATTTACTTATATATAAATAACTATAACTTATAATTATCACCCCTATTGTTGCCCAGAACGGCCTGAACGCGCTGCACCTGGCCAGCAAGGAGGGGCACGCGCACGTGGTTAGCGAGCTGCTGGAGCGCGGGGCCAACGTCGACGCTGCCACCAAGAAGGGCAACACTGCGCTACACATCGCCTCTCTTGGTGCGATGTTGTGATGTTGTGATGTTGGGTGTGATGTATGCCACCAAGAAGGGCAACACCGCCCTACACATCGCCTCTCTTGGTGCGATGTTGTGATGTTGTGATGTTGTGATGTTGTGATGTTGGGTGTGATGTTGTGATGTTGGGTGTGATGTTGGGTGCGATGTTGTGATGTTGGGTGTGATGTTGTGATGTTGGGTGTGATGTTGGGTGTTGGGCGTGATGTATGCCACCAAGAAGGGCAATACCGCCCTACACATCGCCTCTCTTGGTGCGATGTTGTGATGTTGTGATGTTGGGTGTGATGTTGTGATGTTGGGTGTGATGTTGGGTGTGATGTTGTGATGTTGGGTGTGATGTTGTGATGTTGGGTGTGATGTTGGGTGTGATGTTGTGATGTTGGGTGTGATGTATGCCACCAAGAAGGGCAATACCGCGCTACACATCGCCTCTCTTGGTGTGATGTTGTGATGTTGTGATGTTGTGATGTAGGGTGTGATGTTGTGATGGTGTGATGTTGTGATGTTGGCAGTGATGTTGTGATGTAGGGTGTGATGTATACCACCAAGAAGGGCAATACCGCACTACACATCGCCTCTCTTGGTGCGATGTTGTGATGTTGTGATGTAGGGTGTGATGTTGTGATGTTGTGATGTTGTGATGTTGGTGTGATGTATGCGACCAAGAAGGGCAATACCGCCCTACACATCGCTTCTCTTGGTGCGATGTTGTGATGTTGGGATGTTGGGTGTGATGTATGCGACCAAGAAGGGCAATACCGCGCTACACATCGCCTCTCTTGGTGTGATGTTGTGATGTTGTGATGTTGTGATGTTGTGATGTTGTGATGTTGGGTGTGATGTATGCCACCAAGAAGGGCAATACCGCCCTACACATCGCCTCTCTTGGTGCGATGTTGTGATGTTGTGATGTTGGGTGTGATGTTGGGATGTTGGCAGGGATGTTGTGATGTTGGGTGTGATGTATGCCACCAAGAAGGGCAATACCGCCCTACACATCGCCTCTCTTGGTGCGATGTTGTGATGTTGTGATGTTGGGTGTGATGTTGGGATGTTGGCAGGGATGTTGTGATGTTGGGTGTGATGTATGCCACCAAGAAGGGCAATACCGCCCTACACATCGCCTCTCTTGGTGCGATGTAGGGATGTTGTGATGTTGGCAGGGATGTTGTGATGTTGGGAGGGATGTTGTGATGTTGGCAGGGATGTTGTGATGTTGGCAGGGATGTTGTGATGTTGTGATGTTGGGCGTGATGTATGCCACCAAGAAGGGCAATACCGCCCTACACATCGCCTCTCTTGGTGCGATGTTGTGATGTTGGCAGGGATGTTGTGATGTTGGGCGTGATGTTGTGATGTTTGGTGTTGGGCGTATCGCATCCCAATTGGTGGGATGTTGGGAGGGATGTTGTGATGTTGTGCGTGATGTTGGCCGTTCTTTCAGGCGTGATGTTGGCCGTGATGTTGGGCGTAATATTGGTGTGATGTTGGGCGTGAATATTGGGTGCGATGTTGGACGTGATGTTGGGTGCGATGTTGGGTGTGATGTTGGACGTGATGTTGGCGCGATATTGGGTGTGATGTTGGTTCGACTTTTGGTTCGAAATGATGATGGCTATTCATTTTTTTTTGACGTGCTGTTGGTGCGCCTGTTTCTTTTTTATTTGTTTACAAAATTTTGATATCCCAAGAATGAAATCCTAAATATACAAAAGGTAAAAACCCCTTGCACTGATATCAGCAGTTATCCCTTTGCGTCAACTCTTAACCCTTTGTATCAACAATTAACTTTATTAGTAACGGTTAACTCGCCTCTACTGATCCCCTAATCCTAATCTGAAACCCTAATACGCCTTTACCGATACTCATGTAACAAAATTTTTACATCTTCTAACATTTGCTTGTTTATTAAATTCGACGTCTGTACTTAATCTAAAGCTGCCATCTTCTACTTACGTCAACATTTTGTTTCGTATTCCAATAGTCGACGTTGATTTTAATTGCTCAATTCCGTCGTTAATTAATAAATGCATAGTCGTAAACCCCGTAGTATATTTCAGGTTAATAACTAATTAATTCAGAGGAATACGAATATAATGAAAAATAATGAATTTAAATGGGATATTTCTTATCCAGCTGGCCAGGAGGACATCGTACGTATCTTGGTGGAGCACAACGCCGGTGTGAACCTGCAGAGCCAGAATGGGTTCACACCGCTCTACATGGCGGCCCAAGAGAACCATGACACCGTGGTTCGCTACCTGCTCGCTCACAACGCCAACCAGAGCCTCGCTACCGAGGTGTGTTATGAACCGAGTGGTTCACATCACCACCGTGGTGAGTTATGAACCGAGTGGTTCACATCACCACCGTGATGAGTTATGAACCGAGTGGTTCACCTCACCACCGCGGTGAGTTATGAACCGAGTGGTTCACATCACCACCGTGGTGAGTTATGAACCGAGTGGTTCACATCACCACCGTGGTGAGTTATGAACCGAGTGGTTCACCGTGATGAGTCACCCGAGATAATTTTGCAACGTGGTATTATTTTTTTCTTTGAAGCGACTTTATAGTGAATGATATGTCAAAAATTTTTGCATTTATTCACTGTTTGGTGTTTTTTGTGCCGTGAATTTTGCGCTACGCTGAAGTTATTGATTATTTTAGTACGATTTCATCTACGCATCAGAATGTAGACATTGTTCAGTAATCAGTGTGTTACGATTTATGTACGTTTAATTTGCGATTACAATATCTATTTCGTGCTTATTCATATAATTTAATGATTTATATAATTTTTGTTTATTGCGTTTAGGTGATCAGTTGTGCGTAACCGTTTTGTCGTCCGTATATATGCCACGTATCTCATGTATCCTATATACCACCTATATCATGTATCCTATATACCACGTATATCATATATCTTATATGCCACGTATCTCATACATCCAAATACCACGTATCTCATGTAACCTATACACCACGTATATCATTATCCTATACCTACACCACGCATCTCATGTATCCTATATACCACGTATATCATATATCTTATATGCCACGTATCTCATGTATCCTATTTGCCATTTATATCATGTATCCTATATACAACGTAGGTATATCATATATCTTATATGCCACGTATCCCATGTATCCTATATGCCACCTATATCATGTATCCTATATACCACGTATATCATATATCTTATATGCCACGTATCTCATACATCCAAATACCACGTATCTCATGTATCATATACACCACGTATACCATTTATCCTATACGCCACGTATCTCATTTATCCTATACACCACGTATCTCATCTATCCTATATATAGCACGTATCTATCGCGTATCTCATGTATCCCATATAGCACGTATCTCATGTATCCTATACGCCCCGTATATCATCCTATACACCACGTATATCATTGTATACACCACGTATATCATGCTATACACCACGTATATGACACCTCAGGACGGGTTTTCGCCCCCTGGCAGTAGCATGTATCCTATACACCACGTATATCATTGTATACACCACGTATATCATTGTATACACCACGTATATGACACCTCAGGACGGGTTCACGCCCCTGGCAGTAGCATGTATCCTATACACCACGTATATCATTGTATACACCACGTATACGACACCTCAGGACGGGTTCACGCCCCTGGCGGTATCATGTATCCTATACACCACGTATATCATTGTATACACGATGTATACGATACCTCAGGACGGGTTCACGCCCCTGGCAGTAGCATGTATCCTATATACCACCACGTATCTACCGCGTATCTCATGTATCCTATACACCACGTATACCATGTATCCTATAGTACCACGTTTCTTATGTATCAGGACGGGTTCACGCCCCTAGCAGTAGCATGTATCCTATATACCACGTATCTACCGCGTATCTCATGTATCCTATACACCACGTATATCATGCCACGTCCAATATACCACGTATATCATTGTATACACCACGTATATCATTATATACACGACGTATACGACACCTCAGGACGGGTTCACGCCCCTGGCAGTATCATATATCCTATACACCACGTATATCATCTTATACACCACGTATATCATCCTATACACGACGTATATGACACCTCAGGACGGGTTCACGCCCCTGGCAGTAGCATGTATCATATACACCACCTATATCATCCTATACACCACGTATATCATGGTATACACGACGTATATCATCCTATACAAGACGTATCCAACACCTCAGGACGGGTTCACGCCCCTGGCAGTAGCCCTGCAGCAGGGGCACGACAAGGTGGTGGCTGTGCTGCTGGAGAACGACACGAGGGGCAAGGTGCGCCTGCCTGCGCTGCACATCGCGGCTAAGAAAGATGATACCAAGGTACGTGACGGGTGCAACGGGCTGTGTAACGGGCTGTGTAGCGGGCTGTGGAACGGGCTGTGTAGCGGGCTGTGTAACGGGCTGTGGAACGGGCTGTGTAGCGGGCTGTGGAACGGGCTGTGTAGCGGGCTGTGTAACGGGCTGTGGAACGGGCTGTGTAGCGGGCTGTATGATCCATAACCTTATACGTCACGGGTTGTGATCTATACCAAGGTACGTGACGGGTGGAACGGGCTGTGTAGCGGGCTGTGATCCATACAATACGTCTTGTGTAACGGGCTGTATGATTCATAATATTATACTTCACGGGCAGTTATCCATGCTACAATGCGTCTTGTGTACTAAGCTATAACCCATACCATCCATAATTTATATATTACAATAATTTCACCCACTTCAGGCTGCAGCCCTGCTGCTACAAACTGACCACAACCCTGTACGTCATGGGCTGTTTAGAGTATCGATGTATCGTACGTCCATACCATACGTCTTGTGTACTAAGCTATAACAGATACCACCCATAATTCATATATTACCATAATTTCACCCACTTCAGGCTGCAGCCCTGCTGCTACACACTGACCACAATCCTGATCTATACAATACGTCTTGTGTACTAAGCTATAAACCATACCACCCATAATTTATATATTACAATAATTGTAATATATATATATTATACATATATACAATATAGATACATAATTGTAATTGCCCACTTCAGGCTGCAGCACTGCTGCTACACACTGACCACAACCCCTATACGTCATTGGCTGTTTATATGTAGTATCGATGTATCGTACGTCCATACCATACGTCTTGTGTATCGAGCTATAACCTATACCAGGTACCATCCATAATTCATATATTACCATAATTTCCCCCACTTCAGGCTGCAGTCCTCTGACCACAATCCTGATCTATACAATACGTCTTGTGTAACGGGCTGTATGATCTATAACATTATACTTCACGGGCTGTGATCCATACCATACGTCTTGTGTAACGGGCTATGTAACGGGCTGTGTAGCGGGCTGTGTAACGGGCTGTGTAGCAGGCTGTGTAGCGGGCTGTGGAACGGGCTGTGTAGCGGGCTGTGTAACGGGCTGTGTAGCGGGAATCCTGTGTAGCGGGCTGTATGATCTATAACATTAAACGTCACTGGCTGTGATCCATACCATACGTATACCATACGTCTTGTGTATCGAGCTATAACCCAAAACATTCATAATTCATATATTACAATAATGTCACCCACTTCAGGCTGCAACTCTGCTGCTGCACACTAACCACAACCCTGATCTATACAATACGTCTTGTGTACTAAGCTATAAACCATACCACCCATAATTCATATATTACCATAATTTCACCCACTTCAGGCTGCTATACTGGATATGAGCATGGCTCAAATATCACTCATATCATACTTACAGGAGCCATATGATATGAGTGATATTTGTGTTAAATTCACGCATGGTATCTGAATGACATGTATGAGCAATGATCTGCATTAACAATGCGTAATTTATTCTTCATTCACAAATGCTTATTAAATGCATTTATTAAATGCATTCATCCAAACTCACCTCTTCCCCTTCCGGCATTGAACTTTCCCTTTAAATTATCGATTGCAATTTTATCCACAACAGAATAAGTAACTGGAAAACTGTTGAAATTGAAAACCACTTTGAAATAAAAAAAGTTACAAATTTCATTTCAAAACTCGCTAAGTGAACGTAAGTACTTACGCTCTATTTTCTTGTCTATGATTGGTGGATTTTGCTTGAAAGGCCGTCAATGATTGGCTGATGAACTTACGATCTCTTAACTTTTTTTGAAAGTATAGGCCCTGGGCAACTTTGAGTCTTACATTAAGGCGTAACTTTACGTCAAATCGAGTCTTACGTTAAGGCGTAACTTTACGTCAAATTGCGTCTCACGTTAAGGCGTAACTTTACGACAAATACGTCAAATTGCGTGTTACTTTAAGGCGTAACTTTGATGATGTCAACTTTGTTGCCAAGGTAACAAGCTCGGGCCTATACTTCACTTAGCGTTCACTTAGCGAGTTTTGAAAGTATGGCCCCAGGAAAACTTCAGCTAACTTCAAGTCATCTGCGCCTTACGTTAATGCGTAACTTTACGTCAAATAGCGTCTTAAGTTAAGGCGTAACTTTACGTCGAATTGCGTCTTAAGTTAATGCGTAACTTAACGTCGAATTGCGTCTTACGTTAATGCGTAACTTTACGTCGAATTGCGTCTTACGTTAATGCGTAACTTTACGTCGAATTGCGTCTTACGTTAATGCGTAACTTTACGTCGAATTGCGTCTTACGTTAATTCGTAACTTTACATCAAATTGAGTCTTATGTTAATTCGTAACTTTACATCAAATTGAGTCGTACGTTGATGCGTAACTTTACGTCAAATTGAGTCGTACGTTGATGCGTAACTTTACGTCAAATTGCGTCTTACGTTAATGTGGTTCCTACGTCGTTACGGCAATACGTTCCTACATGTTGCCTTCACATGAAGAATGAGCATAATGATGTTGTTTCTTGAGTAATTTTATATTATTGAAGTTTAACCTATTGTAGGTCTCCTACAATTGCATTACGTTATTTCATTCATTATTCGCGGATGAAGTATATGTATGTGCAGCGCCAGTTCACGTCGTTTGCAAGTGAATCTAAGGAATGATGGTGTTGCTTCTAATAAATGAATATTATTGAAATTAATACATAATCATGGTTTCTATGATAGTCTTCATGTTTCATTCATCATTCACGAACGCTGCATGCCTTTGCACGTCGCTTCCATGTGTGTTAAAGGCAACATGGTGCTGTTAATTCTCAATTTGTTATTATTGAAATTAATAACTCTTCATGCTGTCTATAATAACATATTAATATAATTATTGAAATTAAAAACACTTTTATAATATCATATTAATTCATTATTCATGAATGCAGCACCAGATCACGCCTTTGCACGTCGCCTCCAAGTGGGGCAAAGGCAACATGGTGCTGTTTATTGTCAATTAATTATTATTAATATTGTTATTATTATTCATACTTCCTATAATATCATATTAATTCATTATTCACGTATGCAGCACCAGATCACGCCTTTGCACGTCGCCTGTGGGGAGCAAAGGCAACTTGGTGCTGTTTGTTAGTTAATAATAATAATATTTTTATTGTTATTACTATTCATGCTTCCTATTATATCATATTAATTCATTATTCACGTATGCAGCACCAGATCACGCCTTTGCACGTCGCCTCCAAGTGGGGCAAAGGCAACATGGTGCTGTTTGTCAGTTAATAATTAATAATAATAATAATATTTCTATTATTATTATTCATGCTTCCTATAATATCTGTCTCTTATACACATCTAGATGTGTATAAGAGACAGGCTGCACACTGACCGCAACCCTGATCTATACAATACGTCTTGTGTACTAAGCTATAAACCATACCACCCATAATTTATATATTACAATAATTGTAATATATATATATATATTATATACATATAAATAATATACATATATAATTGTAATTGCCCGCTTCAGGCTGCAGCCCTGCTGCTGCACACTGACCACAACCCTGACGTGACATCCAAGAGCGGGTTCACTCCTCTGCACATCGCGTCGCACTACGGCAACGAGAACATCGCGGCTCTCCTCATCCAACGTGGTGCCGATGTCAACTTTGTTGCCAAGGTAACAAACCTGGGGTAAGGTAACAACTTTGTTGCCAAGGTAACAAACCTGGGGTAAGGTAACAAACCTGGGGTAAGGTAACAACTTTGTTGCCAAGGTAACGAACCTGGGGTAAGGTAACAACTTTGTTGCCAAGGTAACAAACCTGGGGTAAGGTAACAACTTTGTTGCCAAGGTAACAAACCTGGGGTAAGGTAACAAACCTGGGGTAAGGTAACAACTTTGTTGCCAAGGTAACGAACCTGGGGTAAGGTAACAACTTTGTTGCCAAGGTAACAAACCTGGGGTAAGGTAACAAACCTGGGGTAAGGTAACAACTTTGTTGCCAAGGTAACGAACCTGGGGTAAGGTAACAACTTTGTTGCCAAGGTAACAAACCTGGGGTAAGGTAACAAACCTGGGGTAAGGTAACAACTTTGTTGCCAAGGTAACGAACCTGGGGTAAGGTAACAACTTTGTTGCCAAGGTAACAAACCTGGGGTAAGGTAACAAACCTGGGGTAAGGTAACAACTTTGTTGCCAAGGTAACGAACCTGGGGTAAGGTAACAACTTTGTTGCCAAGGTAACAAACCTGGGGTAAGGTAACAAACCTGGGGTAAGGTAACAACTTTGTTGCCAAGGTAACGAACCTGGGGTAAGGTAACAACTTTGTTGCCAAGGTAACAAACCTGGGGTAAGGTAACAACNTGTGTTGACGTTTATTGCGCGTTTGTGCTGACGTTTGTGTTGACGTTTATTGCGCGTTTGTGCTGACGTTTGTGTTGACGTTTATTGCGCGTTTGTGCTGACGTTTGTGTTGACGTTTATTGCGCATTTGTGCTGATGTTTGTGTTGACGTTTGTTGCGCGTTTGTACCGACGTTTGTGCTAACGTTTGTGTTGACGTTTATTGCTCGTTTGTGCTGCCATTTGATGCACGTTTGTGCTGATATGTTGCACGTTTGTGCTAATATTCGACCATTTGTGCAGCTCACTGCGGTCACGTTCGCGTGGCCAAGCTTCTGCTGGACCGCAAGGCGGACGCGAACGCGCGCGCCCTGAACGGGTTCACGCCGCTGCACATCGCGTGCAAGAAGAACAGGATTAAAGTGGTCGAACTGCTGCTTAAACATGGCGCTAGCATCGAGGCTACCACTGAGGTATGAAAATAACTTAGGTTTTTATTTTCTTTTATACATAAACTAATGAGGTATGGTAATAACATTAGTTTTTATTTTTTTTGTATGGTCCATACATGAGTTCGAACAAGAAGAACAGGATTAAAGTGGTCGAGCTGCTGCTTAAACATGGCGCTAGCATCGAGGCTACCACTGAGGTATGGTAATAAAATTAGTTTTTATTTTTTTGTATGGTCCATACATGAGTTCGAACAAGAAGAACAGGATTTAAGTGGTCGAGCTGCTGCTTAAACATGGCGCTAGCATCGAGGCTACCACTGAGGTATGGTAATAACATTAGTTTTTATTTTTTTATACATAGACTACTGAGGTATGGTAATAACATGGGTTTTATTTTTTTGTATGATACTATAACATGAGTTCGAACTTATTTTTTATACCTAGACCACTGAGGTATGAAAATAACACGAGTTCGAACTTATTTTTTTGTAATCCTTGAACCACTGAGGTATGGTCTAAACATGAGTTCGAACTTATTTTTTTTAATCCTAAACTTATTGAACTTATTATTTTTTCTATGGTCCAGATACGATTTCGAACTTATTTTTATCCCCAAACCACAGAGGTATGGACCAAACATGAGTTCGAACTTTTTTTTTTTGGTAATATCTAAACTTATTAAGCTTTTTTTTGTAATACCTAAACATATTGAACTTATTTTTTTATGGTCCAAACATGATTTCGAACTTATTTTTTTTTATCCCTAAACCACTGGATATGCTCAAACTTGATTTCAAACCTTTTTTATGTCCGTGAACCATTGTTGCATGGTTCGAAACACTTTTAAAACTTGTTAGCGTGAGCCTCAGAGGTACTACCTATGCTTCAAACACAGAGGTTTTGCTTAAACACCACCTCGAACTTGTTTTTTTTATCTTGAAACAAAGAATTACCGATCAAATACCATTTAAAACATGTTTTTATTATTATTCTTATCCGTGAACCACTGGAGAAGTTCAAACACAGTCAATTTTTTATAGATTTTTTTTAAACTTCTTGAATTACACATCGAGGTATGGTTCGAACCACCATTTCAATTTCTGTATTTATTCCTTACCCAGCGAAATACCGAGGCCTATTTCAAGCTCGATTTATATTACTAGTTTAAATTTTTTTATTGTCTGTAACTTTTGTGCTTATAACGATGAATACTGTGTTCCAAAATTTCATGTATTCATTGGAATCACGATGTGTTTTAAAATTATATAATAATTTATACCAATTTTATATACCAATTTATACCAGAGTCACCAATCTATACCAATTTTATATACCAATTTATACCAGTTACACCAATCTATACCAATTTTATATACCAATTTATACCAGTTACACCAATCTATACCAATTTTGTATACCAATTTATACCAGTTACACCAATTTTCACGATTAAAAGGTCACGGGTATCGCCATTAGCATAATGGAATGACCTCACATTTCAAGCCATTATTCCTGAGTATCTAATTTCCATGATGTCCTTTTATCGAACTTGTAATTTATGGTCATTAGTGTCCATAAAAAGAGTCATAAGAGCAGTGGTCAACTCTGACGATCGAGACTCGTATAGCAGCTAGGCATAGCCAAATTGCTCGCCTATTCCTGCTACCAATTCAGCTTCTGCTTCACTATTAATCTGGAAATTATTCACCTCACCTGTTGAAATTAGCTGGTGTTAGCAGAACTTAAGTTTCATCTCTTGCTTCGTTCGCTTGAATCATAACGTTCTTGTTTAACTAGGCTACTCTCTTCTTTTTATGGCGTCACTAATGAGTGATTGTCTGAAATTGTTTCTCATCGGTTTTTATATATACTGAAGATAACTATCGTTGCCCATTTCCCTCACTTGTTACCCTTACAAGTAGGTAACCCCCTATAACGTTAGCTTCACACATTTTTTTCACACGTCACCCTCACTCATTACCACGTTACCCTCGCACATTACCACGTTACCCTCACACATCACCACGTTACTCTCACTCCTTACCACATTACCCTCACTCATTACCACGTTACCCTCACACATTACCACGTTACCCTCACTCATTACCACGTTACTCTGAATGTTCCCTAATAATATTCACTGTAACAGAGCGGGCTGATACCGCTACACGTGGCAGCGTTCATGGGTTGCATGAACATAGTGATGGGTAACTCTCTCACGTTACCCTCACTCTTACCACGTTACCCTGGTACATTACCACATTACCAATAGCGTTTTCTGATGAATTTCATTGTCCCAGAGCGGGCTGACCCCGCTACACGTGGCAGCGTTCATGGGTTGTACATTTTAATGGTTAATTCTCACGTTACCCTCGCACATTACCACATTACTCTGAATATTTTCTGATGATATTGATTGTTCCAGAGTGGTCTGACACCGCTACACGTGGCAGCGTTCATGGGTTGTCCGTCTTTTATGGTTAATTCTCACGTTACCATCACACATTACCATTTTACTCTCACACATTACCACGTTACTCTGAATGTTCCCTGATAATATTCATTGTCTCAGAGCGGGCTGACACCGTTACACGTGGCAGCGTTCATGGGTTGCATGAACATCGTTATTTACCTGCTGCAACACGGCGCTGCCGCGGACGTGCCTACAGTGCGAGGGGAGACTCCTTTACATCTCGCCGCCCGCGCCAACCAAACTGACATCATCCGCATCCTGCTCAGGAACGGCGCTCAAGTCGACGCTAGGGCCAGGGTAAGGATATAGTGATGATTTTTATAGCTGTTCTAGCTAATTTTTGGCTATTCTAGTGTCATTTTTTTGCTATTCTAGTGTTAATTTTTCTAGCTGTTCTTGCTAATTTTTAGCTATTCTAGTGTCCTACCTATTCTAGTATTAATTTTTGACTATTCCAGTGTTAATTGTTAGCTGTTCTAGTGTTGATTTTTACCTATTCTAGTGTTAACTTCTAGAATTGTTGGTTATTTTATTGATAGTTGCGATGCTAGAGCCAGGGTAAGGATATGGTGTTAATTATTTTAGCTATATTAGCTAATTTTTTAGCTATTCTAGTGTTGATTTTTAGCTATTCTAGTGTTAATTTTTAGCTATTCTAGTGTTGATTTTCAGCTATTCTAGTGTTGATTTTTAGCTATTCTAGTGTTAATTTTTAGAGTTGTTGGTTTTTAGTGAATCAATCAAGATTGTACCGTGTACTATTATTGAAATAATCGTGATTTCAGCGTATATTATAATTAAATACCGTATATTGAATCAATCATAATTGTAGTGCTAGTAACTCATTTTAGTGACCAGAGTGCTAATTTCTAAAATAGTTTGGCAAGCACACAATATTGTTTTATTGTCCATATGCTATTTAGTGCAGTATTTATATCTAACTTGAACTTCGTTTTAATTGTAATCCATAATAAAGCATGAAAATAATAGAATAATATCATTTGAATAATATTTACGTCTAGTTTACCACAACTTTCTTTACATTTTTTTAATTTCTTTTTAAATAGATAAATCTCACAAGTAAGTTAGTTCACAATCTACTCAGTGACCAACACGTAATCCAATCTTACAGAAAATGAACAACTAACATGTAATTATTGTTAATTGTTATTGTAAATATTGTTAATTATTATTGTAAATACTGTTAATTATTATTATAATTATTGCTAATTATTATTGTAATTATTTTAATCGTACAGGAGCAGCAGACCGCCCTGCACATCGCGTCTCGTCTCGGCAACAGCGACATCGTCGTCCTGCTGCTGCAGCACGGCGCTGCTGTCGACGCTACCACCAAGGTGGTACTTGTGGTACTTGTGGTGGTACTTGTGGTACTTGTCGTGGTGGTGATACTTACCATGGTACTTGTGATGATACTTGCCGGGTGGTGATCCTATTGTTACTGTCTCTAATCCTATCCTTCATCCCCAGGACCACTACACTGCGCTGCACATCGCGGCCAAGGAAGGCCAGGAGGACGTGGCCACTGTCCTCCTGGACCAGGGAGCCTCCCTCACGTCGACCACCAAGAAGGGCCTCACGCCTCTCCACTTGGCCGCCAAGTACGGCAACGTCAAGATGGCCAAACTCCTGCTGCAGAAGGACGCTCCGGTGGACGCTCAGGGCAAGAACGGCGTCACGCCTCTGCATGTGGCCGCCCATTATGACCATCAGGTAGATGGTTATGACTATCAGGTAGATGGTAGACGGTTATGACCATCAGGTAGATGGTAGACGGTTATGACCATCAGGTAGATGGTAGACGGTTATGACCATCAGGTAGACGGTAGACGGTTATGACCATCAGGTAGATGGTTATGACCATCAGGTAGACGGTTATGACCATCAGGGAGACGGTTATGACCATCAGGTAGACGGTGATGACCATCAGGTAGACGGTTATGACCATCAGGTAGTCGGTTATGACCATCAGGTAGACGGTTATGACCATCAGGTCGACGGTGGACACGGTGTGGTGGTAAACGAAGGCCACTGGGGAGAGGGGTATTCCAAATAATCAAATCCTTTTCTTATATGAGAGTATTTCTAAAATTCAGAAGTTTCTAAGCCCAAAATTTCTGCACAGAACGTAGCTCTGCTGCTACTTGACAACGCGTCTGTTCATTGCAATGTAAAGCTAAAATTTTTCCAAATAATCATATCCTTTTCTTGTTTAAGAGTATTTATAAAATCCAAAAGTTTATTATAAATAAATATAAAAATCCACAACATTCTAAGCCCAGAATTTCTGGAATGTCTACACAGAATGTAGCTCTGCTGCTTCTTGAATATGTGTCTGTTCATTGCAATGTTAAGCTCTAAGTATTCCAAATAATCACATTCTTTTATTCTTTGAGAGTATTTATACGATACAAATATGAAAAAATATAAAACTCCAAAACTTTCTAAACCCAAAATGTCTACACAGAATGTAGCTCTGCTGCTACTTGAAAACGTGTCGGTTGCAATGTAAAGCTAAAATTATTCCAAATAATAAAAACCCTTTTATTCTTTGAGATAATTTATTCGATACAAATATACAACTTTATAAAAAATATAAAAAATCCCCAACTTTCTAAGCCCAGAATTTCTGGAATTTCTGCGCAGAATGTAGCTCTGCTGCTACTACTCTACAACGCTCCTGTTCATTGCAATGTAAAGTTATAATTATTCCAAATAATCACACCCTTTTATTATTTGATATCTAAAATCCAAAATTTTCTAAACCCAAAATTTCTGCACAGAACGTAGCTCTGCTGCTACTCGACAACGCGTTGGTTCATTACAATGTCAAGCTCAAAGTATTCCAAATAATCACACCCTTTCATTCTTTGAGAGTTTTTATAAAATCCAAAAGTTTATTATAAATAAATATAAAAATCCACAAGTTTCTAAGCCCAGAATGTCTACACAGAACGTAGCTCTGCTGCTACTCGACAACGGTGCTTCACCGCACGCTACAGCCAAGAACGGCTACACGCCGCTACACATCGCGGCGCGCAAGAACCAAATGGACATTGCGAACACGTTGCTCGAGTACGGTGCTAAACCTGACGCAGAATCAAAGGCAGGATTCACGCCTTTGCATCTCACTGCACAGGAAGGCCACACAGACATGTGTAGTCTGCTGGTGGAGCAAGGCGCTTCCGCAGGAAAACCTGCGCGCAACGGTCTCACCCCCATACATCTGTGTGCGCAGGAAGATAAAGTCGGTGTTGCTGCGGTGCTCGTCAAAAATGGGGCTCCGGTGAGTGATAGATGTGAACTTAACTTTGGATAACTATAACTTAGAATCCAGGGGCCATACTTTCAAAACTGGCTAAGTGAACGTAAGTACTTACGCTCTATTTTCTTGTCTATGATTAAGTGAACGTAAGTACTTATAACGTAAGTACTTATGCTCTATTTTCTTGTCTATGATTGGTGGATTTTGCTTGAAAGGCCGTCAATGATTGGCTGATGAACTTACGATCTCCTAAATTTTTTTGGAAGTATGGGCCCAGTAGAGTGATGCCTTGACTTCCGAACGCTTCTACGTGCGAACTTTTCCAGATACGAACCTCCGGTTCGAGATTTTTTTTGCCTCTACATACGAACCGAATTTTGCCTCCTTGTTGCGAACCGAATTCGGAAACCGATTCGGTGCTTACGAATCGATTCAGTTCAGTTATTTTATTTGTGTTGATTCATACTAAATACCAATATTGTTTATACATACAAACATTTTCTCATACGAATCCAGTCACGGAAAGGATTAAGTTCGTAAGTCGAGGTATCACCGAATATGATACAGTAAGTTTTACCGAAAACATTGCAAAAAGAGTTCGATGTTTTAGAACTGTAAGCGTCCGAAGAAGTCCATTGTAAGTTTTTACTTACATTTTAGCAAGATTTATATTAACTGTAGCATTCTTTACGTATCGAAGCTGTCGAGGTTTGGGTGTGAGTGACAACAAGAATAACGAGTATTAATTGCCACACAAATTATCATAATTTAGCTTTATTATTATTATTATTTATTTTTAGGTCCATTATTATTATTATTTATTTTAAGGTTTATTATTATTATCATTATTAGTTAATATTATTAGCGCATTTTCTCATTTATGGAAAAAATGCCCTATTGTGCTCGTCATGTCCGTCTGTCCGTCCGTCTGTCTGTCCGTCCGTGACTTTACGTTTTCGTCAATTTTGAGAAAATGCGCTCTCTGTCACTCACTGCAGTGAGTACTGAGTTATATTTTTATTATTATTATTATTATATTATTATTATTATTTCATGCATTAATTCATTATTCACGTATGCAGCACCAGATCACGCCTTTGCACGTTGCCTCCAAGTGGGGCAAAGGCAACATGGTGCTGTTTGTCAGTTAATAATTAATAATAATAATAATATTTCTATTATTATTATTCATGCTTCCTATAATATCATATTAATTCATTATTCATGAATGCAGCACCAGATCACGCCTTTGCACGTCGCCTCCAAGTGGGGCAAAGGCAACATGGTGCTGTTGCTCCTCGACAAGAACGCTAACATCGACGCCCGGACTCGGGACGGTCTCACGCCGCTGCACTGCGCAGCCCGGTCCGGTCACGAGACCGTCGTTGATATGCTGCTGGAGAAGGGGGCTCCGATAACGGGCAAGACCAAGGTAACGTGTTATTGTTATTGTATTGTTATTGTTGTGTCCCCCCATAAAAAGGACTGGGTAACAATCAGTATCACCTATAATCTCTATAATTTGATCATTTATCTATCTAATCTTTATCACCCATAATCTGTTCAATTTAATCATTTATCTATCTAATCTACATCACCTACAATCTCTTCAATTCAATCATTTATCTATCTAATCTACATCACCTATAATCTATTTAATATAATTCAACCCCCCCAGAACGGACTGGAGAACAATCTATATCATCTATTTCCTGTATAATATAAACATCCATCTATCTAATCTATATCATTTAATCTATATCTAATCCATATCACCTTTAATATTATAAATTTAATATAATTTATCCCCCCAGAACGGACTGGAGAACAATCTATATAACCTATTTCCTGTATAATGTAAACATCCATCTATCTAATCTATATCATTTAATCTATATCTAATCAATATCACCTATAATATTATATATTTAATATAATTCTGTCCCCCCAGAACGGGCTGGCGCCCCTACACATGGCATCGCAGGGGGACCACGTAGACGCAGCGCGCATCCTGCTCTACCACAAGGCGCCCGTGGATGACGTCACCGTAGACTTTTTGACGTCGCTCCACGTCGCTGGTTCGTCTACGTCGAATTATCTACCTACTCATTTATCTACTCTAGGGCCATCTATCTACCTATCTAGGTTCTTTTATTCCAAAGATACACTCTTATACTATGCTAGTAGCACATAACGTTTACCATCTATTCGATTTATGCTACGCTACTCATCTACATTCTCGTCTACCTACTTATCTATTTTACTCTATGGCATCTATCTACCCATCTAGGTTGTTCTATTTAAAAAAAACTCAAACTATGAACGTAGCACATAACGTTTACCATCTATTCGATTTATGTTACGCTACTCATCTACCTTCTCATCTACGCTACTCATCTATCTACTCATCTACGCTATTCATGTACGCTACTCATCTACAAAGGTCGCCACTCTGCACTAACTGCCCATACCTCGCCGTATGTCACCCAAGACCGTACATAATACTGGTTTAGATTTTTTTGGCTAGATTAACCAAATAGAAACTAAAATGTTTCTTCGATCGCGCTAGAAATGTACGGTTCAGTTTTGTTTATAAAATAGGTTGTTTCTATTGAAGGCCGCGACTATTATTATTATTATTATTATTATTATTGTCATTATTATTATTATTATTATTATTATTATATTACAATTTATTTTTGCTTTCAATTACAATTTTTTGGCCTTCAATTACAATTTATTTTTGACTTCCATTACAATTTATTTTTGCTTTCAATTACAATTTTTTGGCCTTCAATTACAATTTATTTTTGACTTCCATTACAATTCATTTTTGCCTCCAATTACAATTATTAACTTTCAGCCCGAGTGTATACCCATTTGACGTGTTTCTTGTCGGTACTACACCACACTTAAAAGCAACTTTCAACTCGAGTTAAAAATATTCCGAAAAATACCTTTATTTCCGAAATAAACAATCCGAAAAATAATCCGAAAAATACCTTTATTTCCATCTTGAGGTTAGTCATTGCCGCTACGCAGCGCTTGTATATCTTTATATTTGTCTTGATTTTCAATATTAATAAGTTTCAGCTCTAGCACTTATACCTATTGGTCGTATTTTCATGTTGAGATTACCGAATGTCAAGTTTGATAAGTTATCTTTAAGCTAATTTTATGTGTGCGTATTTCTTTTTGCGCTTTATTAGCCTCAGATTGCAATTTTCATTTTATTTCAAGTTGAGTTTACCCACTTAAAAATTTGATATTGTAGTTTTTAGTATTTTTATGCGTACCTGCATAAAACCGAAGTTTGTGATCAGGTTAATAATACTGTTGTTAATCTTATATTACTCGTACATTGCATTATGAGCAAGTAATTTACAAAGTCAAGCGTAATGTCTAACGAAAAATATTGCTAAGAAATCTCTTTATTTCTTAACTAGAAACTTTTCAATTTTGACCATCCTGTAACAGCCAAGCTAGTGGATATTAAAGTGCAGTAAAAAATTTAGAAACAAATGCCAATGTAAACACATCATATTTTGACTGAAAACCTGGAATTTTCTCTGCTTGGTCGCAATTTAAACGACCAGTTTCTGCCCGTCATTTTCTTTGCTTTTAAATTCTTCGTTAATTTACGATATCAGCGAACTAATTTTCAAAATAATCGTGTATTTATGCTGAAGTGTAATGCTAGTGTAGCCTTTCTACCGCCGTGGATCTGAAGAAGTTAATCGAAATTGCATCGCCGAAACTCGTTGCGCATTTTCTAGCACGCTGTATGCTGGCTACGAAAGTTGGTATATCTTGCCCAGGTTTATGATTCCAGAGAAACTTGTGCAATTTAGTATTAAAGAAGAATTCAGCAGAAAATGTCAGCAAAAATGAAGAGCTTCAAGTTAATACTGGCATCGGTTTTGGTGCATTCCCTTATTGGAATAACTCATCAACTCGATGCATAGGCAATCAATTCAACGACAGCGAAACCAAAGAAGATGGAGCTAATGGAATCAAGAAGCTTGAGATCTACGGAAAAAACTGCAGTGAACATTTCTGGGATTCAAAATCAAATTCCCGACACAAGCTCTGAAGGAAACAAAACTTCGAATGAGGAAACTAAGGTGAAGGAACAAGTTGATCCTGATACTGTGTTTGAAAAAATATGTCCTTTGGACGGTGAGAATTTGTAAGAAGCTGCTGTTTATGTTATTGGAAATGTCACTGGATTTCGACGCAATCAGACCGAATATGTGCAGCCGTTCTTATGGGAGGTTCACAACAACACTGATTATTTAACTGACTCGACGATAGATTTCTTGGAAACCTAAAACTTCAGCGAGTTTCGTGCGCGCTAAAAAAGTCTCAGAGACATCACCGGTGCCGCTAGATTGGCGATGTAATATTTCTATAACTTTTCGAACAATGCCTACATGGCGACCGCGGATGATATACAGGAAAAGATTGCTGAATTTAAAGAAGAACAGAAGAAGGGATTTGTACAGACCGTGGACTTCCTCTAGTTGGCCATAAACAAAGTAAAGTCTCTGGAGGACAATGGAAATAAAGAAATCCGAAGTCTTATGTAATTCTGCAAGAAGGAAATCGAGTGGGCCTGTGATAAATTCGTTGCGGAGAATATTTATAACCCTAGATATATCATTGAGAATCTCCGGGAATTGGGATATTACCAAATACCCGACATCGGCGAAAACCGCAAAGAGAATTTCCAAGGATTGTTGTACAGTCTTGATAAAAACCAATTAATTCGTAGGAAGGAGTACGACAGCAAGAAGAGATATGTGGAGCATAATATCGACGATTCTCTCTACAACTTCCAGAGAAACCTGGACTGGCTGATGAAGCCTCCCCGGGATGCCATCAAACCAGTCCAGGAGAACTTTCTTCGCCTCAAGTCAAAACTACAGATCGATGTGGCGTTGCTCGAGAGCAATCTCATAACCATAATTGAAACCAAACGCCTCACGATAGTAAACCAGATGTGGAAATCATTCTTGCATATCATGAATGCCACTGAAAATGGGCTCAAAGTTTAACAGAATTTGACATAACCTAACTTCGAGCTAATCTTATACCATATGGGCAACATAACAAGTGTTCAGCCCGTGTACAGTGCCGACCAAGTCTATGCTAACGTATCTCTTGACATGGAGCGCGCTGCCCTACAAATGGAAGAGTTCGCCGGAGCCTTAAGAATGATTCTTGTTACTGACGTCACGTTGGGACTCTTCGTGGTGTTCTTAGTCTTGTGGCCAGTCCTCATCTGGCTTCTGGTGACACCGTTCCTCAGGGATTATTTGGACAAGAGAGATAGTTATCGATTGTGAAGTTCAACAATTCTGTGAGCGTGATGTTAGTTATCGATTGTGAAGTTCAACAATTCTGTGAGCGTGATGATAGTTATCGATTGTGAAGTTTTTTTTTAAACAATTCTGTGAGTGTGATGATAGTTATCGATTGTGAAGTTCAACAAGTCTGTGAGCGTGATGATAGTTATCGATTGTGAAGTTCAACAATTCTGTGAGCGTTATATTTAAGTAGGTCACTTCCGTTGTGTCATCTGATCGTGTGGCAAATAAATGATAGAATCATATTTTGAAATCTGTAGATATTGTACTTATGAAGACAAGATATTATGCGGAATTTGAACTTTGAACTACTTTCCATTTCGTTCTATGCCTAATAAATGTTTTATTTTATCATTCCTGTACCATTATTACATTTTTAGAATTTTTATTATCTGGTGCTTGATTTTTTCTATTTAGTTTCCGGCAGACCTCTTATAACGACGGTACAGCTGTAGGTTTTTTATTGAATGATTGTTTGAAGGATAAATATAGAATTGTATGATAGTATTTACGTCGGATCAGACGCCATTGGTTCTTTAGTGACATAAAAGTATTTCTTTTTAATTATTAAATCGTTTTATTTCTTACGTTGTGAAATTACCCTGTATTTTTTGCAGTAGGTTCTAATTTGTTAACAGGGTTATTTTTCTTGTCTCAGGTGACTATTCTATGGATTTACATTCATGTATCGACATTAATCTGGTGCTTTCTTAAATAAATCTTATAATTTTCCGTTATAGATCAATTACACTATGTTTCTTGTCACAAAAAAATCTAATTGAAACCTGTATTTTTTTAGTATTTACTTTAGCATTCATATAAATGAATACTTAGTAGAAATGTAAATCGGTGAATAAATGCGAATTTGCTGGTTTTTGAACTTGGTGGAGTTGTGACCTGATACATTCAGTGGATTTATTTGGCTTTAGGAGAGTTATATGAATCGCTATATATGATGGATTTACTTAGCTTTACTTATACAGTACCGTATATCAATTATATGAATCGCTATATATGATGGATTTACTTAGCTTTACTTATACAGTATATCAATTATATGAATCGATATATATGATGGATTTACTTAGTTTTTCATATACAGTATATCAATTATATGAATCGCTATATATGATGGATTTACTTAGCTTTACTTATACAGTATATCAAGGGCCGCAAGATAAGAGGTGATAAGACTGCGATACGCGCTGCAGTGTCGCGCGGTCCAGCGTGTTGGAAAGTTCTCGCTTCTTTTGCCTTGCGTTTGATTGAAAATATATTTTGCATGTAATTGCGTCTAGATGATTCAAAATTTGGTTTGGATTTGAATTTCGAAATTTTAATTTAATTTCAGTGACTTCGAGAGATTTTGAAAAGGAAATTTTCTGGGCTTAGAAACTCTTGCAGTGAATTTACCGTTAGAATCTCTTACAGTGAATTTTCAGTTATTTTTTCGGTTAAAAGGGCTTCAAGGGTTGAGTTTTTGAGTCAAAAACCGAATATATTCTGTCTGTATTTTTCACAAGCTTGTTTTAGGATAAATTCTTTAAAAGCTCTGCTAAAAAAAGCTTTGAGCCATAGTTGTTGTTTTAGAATTTTAGATCTTCGCCTTTGTAAGGAGTTTGCTTATTTTTTTTTTTTGTAGTATCTGAAGAGACTTTTTAAAGATTTGAGTTTTTATTTTATATTGAAACTTTATTAGCATCTTGAAGGGCAACATAAGCCCTAGCAATGACAATCACTTTGTAGTTGTCAGCGCAGTGCCAAATTCAACGAGAATTTTTTTTTGACTCGATATGTTTCATATCTGAAAGCATAAATGAAATTTGATTGATTTGAAAAATGAGCAATAAGCGTTTGGAGCCATACACTGGCTTCACCACACCTTCAATGGATTTAGTGAGGTATTTTCATTGCATTTTCGATCCCTCGAAAATAAAATTATAAAAATATATCTGAAGTTAATTTCAGGAAGATTAGGTATTTTTAAGAGATCGTTCCCGTGGCATTTTTGTGATTTTTCAAGCCCATCAATGAATGAGAATATAATTTGAATTTTTATATAAACATTCCTGTATCTATCGCGTATTTAATCATTTCTGTGTAAAAAAAATTCATATCAATGTTGGTTGGTTACAGGATAGTCACTGGAAATTGCGCAGATGATTCTAATTTTAATCTTATCAGTGCTGAATTAGGAAATTGTTTTGGCTTGTGTCCAGACACCTTCTCATACGAGGCATTTCATCACTATAGCAATTCATCAGTGGAACAATTCATCGTTATAGATATTCACCATAAAATTTCACAATAGCCTAAAGTGAATTTTTCAAACATAAGTAAATGTAGGTTAGGTTGGGTTAAATTGGAAATGGATGAAATGAAATGTTCCAATGATGAAATACCAGGCAGCTGTTTTTGCGATATGGCCAGTTGAAAAATTTGTTCATTTACGAAATAATATTCTTGTTATATTGGGTGCTTTGAGATGCAGATTGATGATTTAAATTGAGATTGATGTAGGTTGGCTCGGTTGTTCTAGTCTTGGTTACATAGCTAAAGTATTTATTGACTTAGGCAGACTTTTTTTAGGCTTGGTTGCATCACTAAACTCTTGGTTGTTGTAGGCTTGGTTGCATCATTAAACTCTTGGGTTGTTGTAGGCTTGGTTGCATCATTAAACTCTTGGGTTGTTGTAGGCTTGGTTGCATCACTAAACTCTTGGTTGTTGTAGGCTTGGTTGCATCACTAAAGTGTTGGTTGTTGTAGGCTTGGTTGCATCACTAAAGTCTTGGTTGTTGTAGGCTTGGTTGCATCACTAAGGTATGGGTTGCTGTAGGTTTGGTTGGATCACTAAACTCTTGGTTGTTATAGGCTTGGTTGCATCACTAAACTCTTGGTTGTTGTAGGCTTGGTTGCATAATTAAACTCTTGGTTGTCACAGGTACACCCCACTCCACCAGGCCGCCCAACAAGGCCACACCCAAATCGTCAACCTGCTCCTCGAGCACAACGCTGAGCCCAACGCTGAGACCAAGGTTGGGGACTAGCGGTCTAGAACTATGGGTGCAAGCTGGGTCTAGAACTATGGGTGCAAGCTGGGTCTAGAACTATGGGTGCAAGCTGGGTCTAGAACACAGGGTATAAGCTGGGTCTAGAACTATGATTAAAAGTTTGGTCTAGAACTATGGGTATAAGCTGGGTCTAGAACTATGATTAAAAGTTTGGTCTAGAGGGTGCAAGCTGGGCCTAGAACTATGTGTATAAGCTGGGTCTAGAACTAAGGGTATAAGCTGGGTCTAGAACTATGATTAAAAGTTTGGTCTAGAACTATGGGTATAAGCTGGGTCTAGAACTATGATTAAAAGTTTGGTCTAGAACTATGGGTGCAAGCTGGGCCTAGAACTATGTGTATAAGCTGGGTCTAGAACTAAGGGTACAAGCTGGGTCTAGAACTATGATTAAAAGTTTGGTCTAGAACTATGGGTATAAGCTGGGTCTACAACTAGGGTACAAGCTGGGTCTAGAACTAAGGGTATACGCTGGGTCTAGAACTAAGGGTATAAGTTTGGTCTAGAACTAAGGGTACAAGCTGGGTCTAGAACTAAGGGTATAAGTTTGGTCTAGAACTATGGGTACAAGCTGGTTTAGAACTAAGGGTACAAGTCGGGTCTAGAACTAAGGGTAAAAGCTGGGTCCAGAACTATGGGTATAAGCTGGGTCTAGAACTATGGGTGCAAGCTGGGTCTATAACTATGGGTACAAGCTGGGTCTAGAACTATGGGTGCAAGCTGGGTCTAGAACTATGGGTACAAGCTGGGTCTAGAACTAAGGGTACAAGCTGGGTCTATAAGTATGGGTAGAAGCTGGGTCTAGAACTATGGGTGCAAGCTCGGTCTACAACTAAGGGTACAAGCTGGGTCTAGAACTAAGGGTATAAGCTGGGTCTAGAACTAAGGGTATAAGCTGGGTCTAGAACTAAGGGTATAGGCTGGGTCTAGAACTAAGGGTATACGCTGGGTTTAGAACTAATGGTATAACTTGGGTCTAGAACTAAGGGTTCAGGCTGGGTCTAGAACTAAGGGCACAAGTTGGGTCTATAAATAAGGATACAAGCTGGATCTAGAACTAAGGGTATAAGCTGGGTCCAGAACTTTGGGTACAAGCTGGTCATCAAGTCTGATGCCGTACTATAAAATTATAGGTTCTAGAACGTTTAATATGAGGTGGGTATAGGGCACGGGGCCCAAGCAGAGTCTTTGCGGTTAACTTAACGCCGCTCAGGGCCTATACTTTAAAAAAAAGTTAAGAGATCGTAAGTTCATCAGCCAATCATTGACGGCCTTTCAAGCAAAATCGACCAATCAAAGACAAGAAAATAGAGAGTAAGTACTTACGTTCACTTAGCGGGATTTGAAAGTATGGCCCCTGAAATTGACTAGTTTCGGCTTTAGAACTTTATATGTTATCGGTTTTCTTTATACTGCTCTATATTTAAGTGGGGTTTGGAGCACACGAATTTAGCAATGTCTGAAGTTACAGTTTAATCAGATGGATTGGATGCTTAAAGTGTAAAGGGAAAGGTTCTAATTATAATGAGTTGGCATTGATGTACTTTCATAGTTGAAATACTTTGATAATACCCCCAATGATAACGCCACCAATGATAACAACACCACCAACGATAACACCCACCAATGATAACACCACCGATGATAACGCCCACCAATGATAACACCCCTATGAAAACACCACCAATGATAACACCTCCCTATGATAACACCCACCAATGATAACACCCCCCATGATAACACCCCTCAATGATAACACCCACCAATGATAACACCCACCAATGAAAACACCCCCCAATGATAACACCCACAATGATAACACCCACCAATGATAACACCCACTAATGATAACACCCCCAATGATAACACCCCCAATGATAACACCTCCCAATGATAACACTCCCCAATGATAACACCCCCAATGATAACACCCACTAATGATAACACCAATGATAACACCCCCAATGATAACACCAATGATTACACCCCCAATTATAACACCAATGATAACACCCCGCAATGATAACGCCACCAATGATAACACCCACCAATGATAACACTACTGACAACACCCAATAAATATTATGCTAATGATAACACCAATGATAACACCCNGGTGCCATAGACCATGCACGAGACCTTCATGAGCGAGAGCGAGGACGAGGGTGGTGAGTAATGGGTGATTTGGGGTGATTAAGGGGTGATTAATGGGTGATAATGGGTGGTTATAGGTGAGTAAAGGTTGTGGTGCCATAGACCATGCACGAGACCTTCATGAGTGAGAGCGATGACGAGGGTGGTGAGTAATGGGTCAATATTTTGTCATTAATGGGTGATAATGGGGTGATTATAAGCGAGTAATGGGTTAAAGTGGGGTGATTATAAGTGAGTAATGGGTTAAGATGGGATGGTTGTAAGTGAGTAATTGGTTAAATTGGGGTGATTATAAGGCATGGGTGGGGTGGTGAGTAATGGGTGATAATGGGGTAACTAAGGCACTTGTCGTAAGTAATGGTGACTAAGGCTTGGTGATTTAGTGAAGAGTAATGGTAAACTAGTGATACGTGCTCGTACAATTGGTTGTTGCACGTACAGCTCACGTATCTTTGTGTTGTACTTCACGCACACTTACGCTGCACGTAACTTTACGCACACTTACGCTGCACGTATGTTAACTAATTACTCCGTGTACTCCTTTCATGTACTGCATGTACTCCTGTACTGTCACGTGTACATGGACGTGTATATGCCTGAGGTTGTCACGTGTACGTGTACATTGTATATGCCTGAGGTTGTCACGTGTACGTGTACATTGTACATGCCTGAGGTTGTCACGTGTACGTGTACATTGTACATGCCTGAGGTTGTCACGTGTACGTGTACATTGTACATGCCTGAGGTTGTCACGTGTACGTTTACATTGTACATGCCTGAGGTTGTCACGTGTACGTGTACATTGTACATGCCTGACATTGTCACGTGTACACATGTACTGCATAAAATGTTCATCAGTCGTACGCTATGATGTTATAAGTGTTCTTAAGATAAGAAGTTCCTACATCTAAAGTTTGAAAAATATTAATTTTAAAAGTTGCTCAAAGTTTTCAACAGAAACCGAAATTTTTCTTCATTCAAGTACAGTTATAATATTCAAGTTATGGTACTCAAGTTACGGTACTCAAGTTACGATACTCAAGTTACGGTACTCAAGTTTCGATACTCAAGTTACGGTACCCAAGTTACGGTACTCAAGTTACGGTACTCAAGTTACGGTACTCAAGTTACGATACTCAAGTTACCATGGCGTAACTTGAGTATCATTTGGAATACATTTTATATAAATTGAACTTTAGAAGTGATAATTTTCTGCATGTATTAACCTATACGAATATGAAACCTTTCGAATTATTATTCAACAAAATTCTTTAATATTTTAAGAATTTAGTTGTGCACGTCCTGCCTGTTACGTGTTGTTATTCCTGTATATTGTTTACCCATAAAGCCATATATCATCGATGTTTATTACATATATGTTTGTACTGCACATTTATGTACTGATGACATAAATATTTATTACATATATTTTCGTACTGCATTGCTTGCCGTTTTACTGTTACTGCTAATCACCCAATCAATTTTTTCCAGCATTGAGTGTTGCAATAACCCTTTTTTTCGGTTAACTTTTATCCATTTGTTGGATTTTCATTTTAAAAAATTTGCATTTTCAAAATTTTTCATATAACAATATTCTTTTAGCTTGTCATCACGAATAATTTTTATGCTGCATTGTACTTTCGAGATGAAATTTTCAATTTAATTCCTTGTTGATGTAACATAATTTTTAACTTAATATATACTGACTATTGCTGCAATGAAAACCTACCAGTTTTTCAAAAGAATTTTATTTGGCTTCAGTTATCGACAAAAATTTACTTGAACGTCTCGAATTAAAAATATTAAAAATTATTGGAACGTAATAAACAATCTATAATCCCGTAATAATAAATAATTACTATCCCGTAATAAACTATTTATTTATTATGGAGTAGCGATATTCGGTTGTTTTCCTTTGAACTTTTTCTCAATCTGAAGATCTATAAAAGTTTTTAATTGTTCATGATTTAAATTTAATTCAGTCAATTTATTTATGTTTTACAATTACGTTAGCCGATCTTGCTAACAATTTCCAATCATAAAAACTAATTTTTGCGAATTATTTTGTTGCTCATTTTTTCTGTTTTTCTGTTTTTTTTTTTTTTGTATTCGCGTGCTGTTTGTTTATTTTTCACCATTTTGTGCACTAAACACTTAATACGTCTCATGTCATCTTGCGTATATTCAATTTTTCATTTCACGCTACTCCTTCCTTCCATCTGCACATCATTTTCTTCCACAGATCTCTTTCTTCCACACATCTCTTGCTTCCACACATCTTTTTTTTCCATACATCTCTTTCTTCCACACATCTCTTTCTTCTACACATCTCTTTCTTCCACACATCTCTTTCTTCTACACATCTCTTTCTTCCACACATCTCTTTCTTCCACACATCTCTTTCTTCCACACATCTCATTATTTCACACATCTCATTATTTCACACATCATTTTCTTCCACACATCTCATTATTTCACACATATCATTTTTGTGCCATGCATTTCTGTTGTGCCACGCGCGCATTGTGTCCCGTATGAGTTACACATTTATTTGTCTCCCGTATGAGTCACACACTGGTAATGATATGAGTATGAGTCACACACTGGCATGTCCCGTATAAGTCACACACTTATTCGTCTCCCGTATGAGTCACACTTACTTCTCTCCCGTATGATTCACGCACTCCTTGTGTCCCGTATGAGCCCCGCACTTCCGTGTGTGCCGTATGAGTCACACACTTATTCGTCTTCCGCATGAGTCCCGCACACCGTATGTCCCGTATGACCCTGTCCCGTGTCGCCCCCCAGACGATGGCATGCCGCTC